AGGCTCAATGAGCACGTGTTTACCAACGGCCTTCTGCCGGCGGAACAATTCGGCTTTCGAGCTAGACATTCCTGTCTCGATCAACTATTCCGCCTAACGGAACATATCCTAAAAGGCCTAAATCACCCTAAACATATTAGTACAGGGGCTCTTTTCTTCGATGTCGCAAAAGCATTCGACAAGGTCTGGCACAACGGCTTGCTTTACAAGCTGTACACACTCAAAGTGCCGGATAGGCTCGTACACACCATCCGGGCCTTCCTGTCAAACCGCTCTTTTCGATATCGAGTTGAAGGCACCCTCTCCACAAGCCGCCGCCTCACGGCCGGCGTACCACAAGGCTCCTGCCTCTCACCTTTGCTCTTTACGCTCTACACGAGCGATATACCTAAAGACCCCCACGTCAATCTCGCGCTTTTCGCGGATGACACGGCGCTCTTTTATTCAGACCACAACCTTAGACAACTAACCACACGACTCCAAAGCGCCGCCGACCGCCTCGGCGACTGGTTCCGCAAATGGAGAATATAAATAAATCCCGAAAAGAGTGTGGCGATTCACTTCACACGAAGTACTTACCCTTCACATCTTTATAATGGCCCTCGTCAATGCAGAAAGTTGGGGCAAATATCCCTTTATGGCCACCCGGTCCCCTGGGAGAAAAAGGTCAAATACTTAGGAGTCACTTTCGACTCGCGTATGTCATTTAATACGCACATTAACAACGTTCGCAATAGAGCTGCGTTCGTCTCCGGCCGGCTACACAATTTAACTAACGCTAAAAGTAAAATGCCCTTAAGACACAAATTATTATTATATAAGACCTGCGTACGACCTATTATGTCCTACGCATGCATGACCTTTGCCCACACGCACCCTACTCGCTTGTACAAGTTGCAAATAATACAAAATAAGTTCATCCGCCGCGCAACCGGTGCACAGTGGTATCAACGCAACGTCGACCTGCACAGCGATTGCCGACGATTCGCGAATATTTTAAAGACCTGACCAAACGGTTCTTCGATAGAGCCGAACATCATCCCAACCCTCTGGTGGTAAGCGCAGCAAATTACCAACCCGACACAAACGCGAACGTCAACAAGCGTCGCCCGCGAAACGTCCTCATCGACCCGGTCGAGGAAGGGGACTTAGATACGCCGGACCCACCGCCGGGGATCCCGCCGGATAACACTACACCCACAGTTAGTGCAACAACAAACATACTAGTTCGCCCTCGCCTCCGAGCACGGCGAGACCAACACAACGCGTTCACAAGGTACACCCGCGTTCCGGGGCGGTTCTCACCGCTCCCAGCCACCGATTAGCTAATTGCACAGTCGACGGCCATTGGGGTTTCGTCCGAACCGCGACCTCGATGGCCCTTAGATGACATACCACACTTAAACGTACGCATGAGCACATGCGTGGCCCTACCACAGCGGAGGGCCCAAACCCGTGGGTTTTGGCTAGCCCACCGGTTCTGCGTCAGATGAAGCTTTAATAGTCTCGGGACTGAAAGCACAAACATCAGTTAATACAAGATACAAGAAGACATAACTAAAGCTATTACCAGTGATACCAACTGTTCAAAAAGAATACTTCTAAATAAATTCGAAAACCCACTATAATTGACTAAATTCAAAAAACTTACTGAATTTAAAATCACGATTTTTTATACTATTCAGGTAAAATTATAACATTACCTGATTAAATTAAAAATAGAAATTGAAGTAATATAAAAATGATTTATTTTAACATCTTATATATCGCTTAATAATTGACATTAACATATTCTTAGAACACGCAATCATGAGTGACAATATTTTCATAATTTGTGTAAGAAATAATACATTCAGTATTATAACTTAGGGCGGAAGAATTTAAAATATACACACAAAGCACATAAACCTTGGTCTGATTTCCACCCAAGCAGCACAGCACTATTAAATTATATTTTTCTTTTTGTGTACTTTTATTTTTTTCCAAAAATATGAATAAAATTTAATTAATAAAAATATTCACAAAAAATTTACCTCCTAAAAAATTCCCATTTATATTTTTCTTCCTTAATTTAGGCAGAAAATTCTTAAGTAGTCATTTGGCATCCCTTACTATTACGTGCTAGGTACCAATGCAATCCAGCTCAAGGTTAAACAAAATTTAAAGACATCGTTAATACCGTAATTCGTATTTAAATGCAACTAAAAATGTTTTTTTCCATGCTGTTAAGATTCAAAATTACTTAACTGCGCGCTTTGTCCCCCGTTACGGCTCAAGGCTAAACAAAACAATAAAAATATACTTAATAATATCGTTGTAGTAATCGTTGATACCATGATTAGTATTTAATTGAAACGGATCTTATTGACATGATTTAAGATTCAAAATTACTTAACTTATTCATAATATCTGTTTAAAAATCTGATATCGTGCATTGCTTGCCGTCCCGCTCTAACTAGTGAGTATTTATATCTCACGCGCTTTGTCGCTCGATATCTGATATCGTGCATTGCTTGCCGTCCCGCTCTAACTAGTGAGTATTTATATCTCCCGCGCTTTGTCGCTCGATATCTGATATCGTGCATTGCTTGCCGTCCCGCTCTAACTAGTGAGTATTTATATCTCACGCGCTTTGTCGCTTGATATCTGATATCGTGCATTGCTTGCCGTCCCGCTCTAACTAGTGAGTATTTATATCTCACGCGCTTTGTCACTCAATATCTGATATCGTGCATTGCTTGCCGTCCCGCTCTAACTAGTGAGTATTTATATCTTACGCGCTTTGTCGCTCGATATCTGATATCGTGCATTGCTTGCCGTCCCGCTCTAACTAGTGAGTATTTGTATCTCACGCGCTTTGTCTCTCGAAATGTGTTTAAAAAATCAGATATTGTGGCAAACGCGTATGATATCGCGATTCGTGTCGGTATAGCGAGCGAGCACGTTACATCAGATTTCGGAAATATCAGATATTGTAAAATACATAGATATTGAACGAGCCAGTAAGCGATTTTCGGATACTGTACTAATATCCAGTTTTCATATCTGATACGATTTATATCGCCCACTTCTAATTGACAATGACAATGACAACTGTCAGTCATGCGTGGTCATGCGTATCAAATCTAAATATTATTGAATATTGTTGTAATCACAGAACACTTTTACTCAAAGTGGTTGTGACTTAAGTTTTGTATTTTCGCTTTGATTTTTGCCTATTTGATCTGTTTTTGTTTTATAAATTTTCTACGAATTATGTTATTGTTGCCGAGGATGAAATTTGATTTTCAACTTGTCTTAATTTTGGTGCAATGAAATAAATTATCTACTAAAACAAGACAAATTATAAATAACGTTATCTATTTTGTGAAAATGTCTTTCTGGCCTTCAAAAAATATTAATATTTTTGATAATTTATCGCAAGACTTTTCAAAGAAACCGTATACTAAAATTGATTTGATTGGTAAGCTACATATCATTCATGCATTAGATAATGGGCAACCAAAAGCTGACATTGCTAGAGATTATGGAGTCCATCCTCAAACAATTACATATATTTATAAACAGAAAGAGGCATTAATAAAAAAATATTCCCAAAAATATAACCTTTTAAATGAAGTTCGTTGCATGAACCTTAATCAAACATTATTAGAGTGGATTACGGGAGAACTTAGAAATGGAAAAATAATTAAAGAAAAACAATTAAGAGAAAAGGCTGCAGACGTAATTAATTCTTTAAGTGAAGATTTTAATTGTGTGGATGATTGGCTAATGGATTTTAGGAGGAGAAATAACATAATGAAATTTACTTCCAAAATTTCTTGTAGTACTTCTGCTAAGGAGGAATGGAATAACTTTGTTACTAACATGGATGTAAACAACTTGTACATTGGTGGAACTTTTGGTCTATATCATTCTTTGGATTTTGATAACTATATAAGCAAGCAAGAAACAGAGAAATATGTATGCCTTTTATTTCTTGTTAATTGTTCTGGAACTGATAAGAAGGAATTATTGGTAGTAGGAGACGATGTTCTAGAAGAGTACAATAATGTTAGAAGTTTTCCTGTGCAGTATTTTCACTGCAATAAGCCTTGTATTAATTATCAAGTTATTCAGAATTACTTAACCAAATGGGATACTGATTTAAAAACACAAAACCAGAGAGTAACTTTAGTAATGGACATTCCAGAAAAATTGCTAATGAATCTCAATTGTACCAACATTGAAATAAAAACATTCACAAATATGGAGTATGTTTCAAAGAATATTGGTATGATAGTCAAATGTTTCAAGTTCCATTATAGAAGAATCCAAATGACAAAAAAAATATTATTCAACAAAGATTCAATTGTGCAAACATTTGTAGATTACACACATTTAATGAGTACTGCATGGCATAGTGTGGCAGCAGAATACATACAAAGACTATTTTTTCCTCTTGAATATGGTAGCCTTTATATAATCACGGATGATGCTAATGACTGCAACTATAGTTTGTCACAATGGTGCAAGTTGCACAATTTACCGTGTGATCTTGAAATGTATTCAGATTTATTGGATAGCTACCTTCTATGTGACAATAATATTCAGGTTGTTAATATGGATGATAATGATACAATATTAAATGTCAATAATAATTTATTGGAAAATGATTCTGTATGTCCATCGGGAGTACAAGCTTATCAAGCTATGAAAAGATTAGTTAATTATTTACAGAGTCAAAATGCTCAAAAGTCTATTGTAAAATGTGCAAAGACCTTAGAAGATCACTTAGAATTTGGGGCACTACAAAAAATTCAACAAATGATTACAACCAATAATACCACAGACTAAAATGTTTTGTAATTGTATCATATAATTTTGCTTATATTTATGTATACAGATTCATGGCCAAATAAAATTACAATTTTTGTATTAATAAGCTGATTCTTTTATTTTATGTACAGATACAAAATAATTACAATGTACAATCTTCATTTGTGAGGCATTACAAATTATCTAAAGAATATGCGGGCACTCGTAAGACTGTAATATAGCAGTCTAAATTCTTCCTCAAGGGTTTTAATTTTCTTTTCTGATAGTGCTAATGCTTGTTGTAATTGGAGAGTTCCTTGTGTTTTTTGTTCATTAATTCTTTCTCTTTCTTCTTTAATATGGTCCCATACAGCATTAAACCAATGCAGAGACTCAAAACTAGGGTCCTGAAACAAATAAAAATGCAATAAGTTATTAAATTATTATGCTTATCTTGGGTAATATTTACACAGTAGGACTTAGTAGATATTCAGAAATAAAGTTAGTTTAGAAACTGTTCCTGATATTTGAAATGCTTTTTTCTATAACTTCATTTTCATTGAAAAAATGTTTTTTTATAACTTCATTCATTTTCGAAAATTCAAATGTGGGAATTTTTTCTCTTCAATTTATACTGTTCTGTCCGCAGAATTTTCGTAAGAAGGACTACAGTTTTTGCTTCACGTATTAATATACGGTGTGTCTTTACCACCGCGACAATAAATGAACACACTTCTAACGCTACTTGCCAATAATCATAAAAAATATTGACGTTAAAAAATCCATAATTAAAAAACAATATTTTTCTAACAAACTAATTAAGTAAAAAAGAAACAAAATTTGTAACACCTATACAACTACATCTGACTGATTCATACATTCAGAGACTTTTTCATTCGTTGCCACAGCGCCGCATTACAAGCCTCTCCTTCTAACAGTATGTTTTGTCTCTTTTAAATTCATTCAACCCATTCATATGCTTTGTGACCTTTACAAATGAACTTTACATTAAAGTTTTATACGTACGGGTGTACTAAAATTCTTTGTTTTGAAAAATTTGATAACTCGTTAAATATTGATGTTTAAAGAATGTAAATCTTTAATACAATTTTAAAAAGTTATCCTCTATATGTGTTCATTTATTGCCGCGATGGTAAAGACATGCTGTATAGAAGATATAAACATGAATTTTCTTTTAGATAAATTGTAGAAAACTTTATTTTTCGCCACTGCGCTCTAATCTAAGTCTTATGGGTAATGCGCCCTGACAATGTCCGATTGAATGATCTAAGTGGCCAATATCCCCACGATACGATAGGGCCTGTGGCAGGGCCACGCAGCAGCCTCGGATGTTGCACGAATGGGCAGACTCGTCCGGGTAAGTACGACGACCTCACAGAAGACTGGCTTGAAGTGGAAGATAATACTTTCGCGTTTCGTCTGGTGTGAGGTAGCCGGAGCCCAATTTACAAAAAGGTTGTCAACGCATCTGCAACCCTCGGGTGTAATGGATGTCCATGGGCGGCGGTATTCACTTAACATCAGGTGAACCGCCTGCTAGCTTGGCATCTTTTCACATAAAAAAATGTGAAAATTTCATTACACATAGAAATGTTCCTACGTACTTTTATTGCATTTTTAAATCGCGCCAAGGTTGCTCAAATGTAATAGATGTTTAGAGTTTTACGCCATGGGGATAACGACTGATAGTCGAAATTTATGACACGCTCTATCGGATCATAGAGCGTGTCATAAATTTTAGACAATTTATTTATACTACAAAAAATCCCAATTTAACCTTCGCTACAACAAACAAGGCCCCAGACTATATGCATACGATATACATTAATTTATTGCATAGGCAATGTATACATGGTATTGCTCTCAATTATGAGTGTCATTTAATTACCTGATCCAGTAGCTTCAATATGTAAGCAACGCCGACAGCGAACCCGTCGTCTGTAAACGCAGCACCGGCCTTATTCTTCTTTGACATCTTGTCTTTCGACAATATCATGTGCTCAATAAAATTTAAAGTCAATGGTGGTACGATAATGAAAAAATTTTTCAAATGAACATTCTTGGGATTCCTGAAAACCGGTGCGAAAACGTCCACAAGTAACTTGAAGTACTCAGTGCCTTCTATGAAATTCGATACCAGGCCGCTGATATTGTCGTCCAAATTTTCCGCGGCTTCGATTAATTTTTCTCCCAGGCAGTTTTCCTCACACAGTTCTTTGAAGGACTTATTGACCAGATTTGGCAGGAAGGCTGTCGCATCGGAACAGCAATGTCTGCCGCCGGATCGAACCATTCGTACGTATCCCATTGCGTTACCAATTTGCGTTATGAGATCCCGAAATAGGTCTAAATAGCTCTGACCATCTTCGGCTAAGCCCAACACTTTTATGCCTTTGTTAAACCTCTCTGCGTGTTTGTACCGATATACGTTACCGTTTGATGGTGCATTTTCTTTGAAATGTCTTAAATCTTTTATTAGTCTCGACTTTATCTGCTCGTCGAACATGAATTGTGAAAAGATAAAAAATTTGTTCTTCAAAAATTGATATGTAAAATTAACAGTTGTGTTCATGATTCCGGTACCGTGAGTTCTAATTGAATTTGCAATGTGTCTAATATTGATGGAATTTAAATGTTTATTGTTGCTACTCTTTTCTATAAAAATCTGATTGTTTAAATTGTACTGATATTTCGATACAAAAATGTGTATTTTCCGCATTATTTCCAATACGTCTAACCCTTGTTCTAATGTTTGTTTTGGAAGATTATCTTGTACGGTAACAAGGTTAAACTTAAATTTAGCCATTTGTCGCATTTCACCATATGTCTTCCAATCCGACAATACGACAGTAGTTAAGTTGTAGTACGTTTTTGATAAATAATGTTCCACTGTTGGTACGATATTTGTGTACATATTCAAAATTCGTAGATTGCTTATTATTAGTAGGAGTTTTTTGATCATATCGGTTGCGAATGGGCTGACAACGTCCAGCTGCAGATGTGAATGTATATGCAATCTTAAATTTGTTTCAATGTTCTGACTGGTATTGTTCAGCACTTTATCATTGATCATGGTGTTTATGCTATTTAAAAAGTTATCATACTTTGTGTTCCCATAGTATTGATCAGTTTTATGAAGAAGAGCCGCGCAGTCTTCTAGCACCATAAAGAACTGTTTTAATCTTGGAGCGTTGAGGTCAACACAGAAAAGTTGTTCAAAGTAGATGGGGATGACATTTTGATGGCTCAGCATCCATGAACAGTTGCAGTATTTGTCCATATTATTGAGGAAGTTTGTCAGCGTCTGCACTCTCTCCAGTAATGTTCCGAGTTTAACGTAAGTGTCATTCACATACGTTGCCTCTGGAATAAAACTCAGCGCTATATTTGTGGCCGTGTTACGTTCGATGGTGGCAGCGCCTTTGATGGCCTGTTCAGCGATTACAATGCACGTGAGCTCATCCAGCTTCTTGTTCGCATATTTCTTGTCGCACATAAGCATTTTCTTAACCTCCTGGATGGAGGAAGCTGCTTGAAACAGCAGATGTTGGACGATCATGGTGACCGAGTTCAATATTTGATTATGATTACGCGTGATTGCGTTCTTTATGTTTTTGAGTAGGTCTATAATTTCGAATAAAGACATAAGCGTTTGCTTCGACAAGGGTATTCCGAGCGACGAATGTAAATTCAAAAATGTTAACAGGGAATGATTTATTGTAGAAGTAATTTCAAGGCCTTCCAGTATTATTTTCGCATGCAGACTCATTTCAGCTGCATTCAATTTGTTATTGTTTGAAAATATACTCTCAACATTTAATATCCATTGCGAGCAAACATTCTGTAAGACCGCTATATCTTTCGATAACGACAATTTCTTTGCGTTCATGAAGGCTTGCCGGTTTTTGAGCATAGTCTGGGATAATTTGCTGTGGCTTGAAACAAGTGACGGGGCGTGTCTCTGCAGAAATTGTTCTGGAAACCACACAGTTGTTCCAACAATGTGTATGCTGTGAGCCTGAAAGTCGAGTTTAAGAAATTTACATTAAAACTAAATTGATTAAATGGAGCTTTTTCATGAGCCTATTATTTTGTTAATAATTTATGGTGTGCTCTATTATACTTATTCTTCATTGGCATACAATAGGATTACACTGCAGGCCAAAAGCCTCTTGCAAAAAAGTTTTAACTATACACATAACTAATAATACAGGTAATACAAAACAAATCTGAACACCTGCAAATTCACACTCAACATTTAGTGCATTGATTGCTAAATTTTGATTGTTATTTTCAAATTACTTTATGAAACAAATAAACATTTCTTTTATCGGATTAGAGATTATTGTGCTCCCTATAGTGACGAATAGATGAGATAAATACTACGCTACTATTATATATAATATTTATTATTAAATCTACAAGATATTCTTACAATGTGTCTCCACACTTTCTTTCTAAATGTTGTACAAAACCTATATGACTACAGTAAAATTAACGATTGAGACGTTTAGTAGTTTGGTTGTGTTGCCGCCAGAAAATCACACCTCTGTTAACTACAAATAGAAACGAATGCAGTAGGCCCTTACCCATCTAGAATTATAGATTAATCTGAAAATCCGTTATTTAGAGTGACGAATTGAAATTTGAAATATTTGGTTCAAAAATAAAAAAAAAATGTTCGACGTGGTGCCGAAGAAAATATAATTCCAGATTGTGTGGTGCCAAGTGTCATGCATGGTGGTGGTTTCAGTCTGGTATTGTTTCTCGGAGATGATTAAAAAAGAATTTTAGAGGAAAATGCTGTTTCTTCTGGTTTTTACCACTCTTCCGACATCCACGAATGGATTCATTTTCCAAATAGAAAACGACCAAAAACATAGTTCTAAATTATGCGGGCTATTAAGAACAATAAGAATACAATGGAGCATTGAAAAACATGATGTCGCCACCTCAAGGTCCAAGATCTTAATTCGGTTTATGGGAACCGCATAAAGAGAAAACACGTGGAAAGCTTTACATGAAAGTTGAAACACTATTACTCTACGATTTCTGGGAATAATATTTATTTTTAGTTCTTCGTCTCCGCACTTAGTATGCAACTTGATATGTTTTCAGATAAATGAAGAAAAACCTTCGGCGTTGCTGGGATCGAACCTGCGTTTTCTGTGTTACCCGTCCAGATGTAATCTCACCTCACTTAGCAACTATTTTAAATATTTTTATTCAACGTGGCGAATTTCCTGACCTTATGAAACACAGTAAGATCATTCCGTTGCTTAAATCTGGTAGTACTTCTGACCCCAATAATTTTAGACTTATCTCTGTACTGCCAACTCTTACTAAAATTTTTGAAAAAAATAAATAAAAAAATAAATAAAAAATTGAATCAATTGTTACTGCATTTTAGTTCACATAATTTGTTGCATATCAAGCAATATGGATTTACTAGGGGTAGCTCAATAACAGATGCGGGTATCCAGCTCGTTAAGAATATTTTTTGAAGCCTGGAAAGAGTCACGGGATGCCCTAGGTACATTATATCACTTAACCAAAGCTTTTGATTGTTTACAGCATGAGACTGGTCAGGAAACAACATCACTATGGTATAAGAGATGCCGCAACCTTCTGACATCCTACTTGAGCAATCGTGTTCAGAGAGTTGACGTGAATGACATGAAATGTCCCGGGGCCCTAGTAAGTATGGGGGTTCTGCAAGGATCTATTCTGAGACCTTGCCTCTTCCTCATCTACGTAAATGACCTGCCCTATATTGTTAATAATGATCATGAGATAGTATTGTTTGCTGATGATACTTCTTAAATTTTAAATGTAAAACGAAATTATTTAAAGTATGACGATGTTAACAATACTCTCTCCACTGTAATACTTTGGTTTAGTGCTAATAACTTAGTGTTGAATGGTAAATGAACTAAATGTATTAAATTTACAACTCCCAACGTGGAACATGGAAAAGCTGATGTACTTCTATAAGGGGAAGTGTTATTCATTGGCATAACTATAGATGCCAAACTGCAATGGGTATCCCATATTAATAAACTGACGAGTAGACAGCCTTTGCAGTTAAAAAATAAGACAGTTCTCTGAAGTGGACACAGCTCGTTTGGTATATTTTAGTTATTTTCGAAGGTTAATTCGTGAAGTAGAAGTGTACACTTCTGTGTTTCGTCTGGTAGATGAGGTAACCGCCAACGCATCTATAACCCTATCTATAACTAGCCAGCTCGTTTGCCACTTTGTCACATAAAAAAATCAACAATATAATGTCTTATGGCATCCGACTTTTGGGGAAACGCGGCCGACAAACACTACCTTTACCCTGAAAAAGAGAGCTATTCAAGCAGTTTATAAACTGGGCACCAAAGAATCACTAAGAAATATAAAGAAATCAAAATATTGACTGTCGCTTCTCAGTACATACTTGCAAATATTATGCATGTCGTTAAAAATAAGAATGAACTTTCAAGATTTAGTAATGTATATGATGATGATGAAATTATTTGTATTAGTCATTGTTGTGATAACATACTCTGATAAATTATTGATAAACGAATTGATCTCTCAAGGCTCTTTCTACTTTTTACTTCATTCACTATTTAAACCATCTTATTTGAATCAAATTGTATAAGTGATTTTTTTACAGAGATCAATTAAAAATATTTTTTTAAATAAAAATTTCTTTTTAAAAGACATGTTGTAAAGGAAATAAAAAGATTTGAAATTTGTTGCTTACCTTTGAATTAACATCAATCAAAGCTTTGAAGATCTTTTTATCACCACTCCCAAATAAGTGAGAATTTAATACAAACAATGCATTAACTTTAATGCATTTGTACATATTTTCTGTGTTAGGTTTCTGCTGCACTAATTTGTCCAGATTAATAATTGCTTGTTTAATGTACTGGGAAAACTCCATGGAAACAACTGTGCAATTCTTTTCAACTAAATTATTCTTTCTCTGGACTAAAAGCTGTTGTAGTGTATTCTGGACTAAATCATCACACATAATCTTGGAAGTAATATTATCAATTGCACCCAAAATAGCATTGAACTTATCTTTGTCTGTGCCCATGTTTTCTGGGGAAGTTGCCTTAAGATATTTACAGTAATTATTCCAATTAGTAGCCAATGATGTTCTAGATATCAATAATTCCAGTAAAATAATAATAGTAAAAAGTTCTCCTATATTATTTATAATAAAATGAAGTTGTATTCCATCTGAAAACAATTATTCACTTATTAAATTGATTACAGATGATTAGAAGTTATGAAGAAGTCACTAGCTATTTATAAGCTAATTTGGTCTAATAAATACTATGGTAAATAAAATAAAACAATTTAAAATACATCAAAATTTGTATTATTACATATTTAAAAAAAGAAGAGTGGAAATATTTGCATGCATCTATTATTACAATAGTATATAATTAATAGTATTTTGCCATATTTGCTTAAATAGTCAGATTTATTTGATTAAACTATTCAATATAGGTCCCAATAATGTCCAATGTTGTTTTCATATTTAGGTAGAGTTTTGGATCACTTTTTCTCTATTAAAAAAAAGATTACAAAAAGTTTTTATTTTCAACTTACTCAAATTTATAAGGCCTTCTGACACAACAGCAAAGACTTGGCAACATAGGTTTTGCAGGGTTTCATTGCAATGTGATGTAAACATATTCAAAAGACATATTGATTCCATTTGTAGACTTACGTCACTGTTTGGATATTCGTCATATGCAGCCAGAAAACAAAAATGCCTGTAATACAAACATAGGTAAAAAAGGTTGAAGGCAAAGTTAAAAAGGCTTATTCAAAGGTTAATTCATGTGACCCTAATGGTGTTGTGGGTAGTGTACCTGCCTCCTGCGCCACAGGGTGTGGGTTCGATCCCCACTACTGGAAAAATATTATGTTAATACTATGTTTTTCTAGTGTCTGGGTGTTTATATATGTATAATATGTATTTATTTACAAAAGAAAAGTATGTTTAAGTATGTTCATCAGTTTTCTAGTACCCATAGTACAAGCTTTGCTTAGTTTGGGACTAGAGAATGTTTGTGTCCAAAAAATATTTATTTATATTTATATTTAAAAGCCTTTTGAAATTAATATTTCACCTTTCGAATGCTTCTCTTTTAATGTTCATTACTTCAACACATAAAGAACACAGAACTCCTAAAACTTTTGTCATAACAGTGTTATCTGAAGATACTAAATCAGTTATGGGAGTGAGTTCATTTGGGGTCATGTTAACTTTGATCGGCAAGAAAGTTTTATTTTCAATAAGCAACAGATTACACATGAACATCTGATCTTGGTATTGTTTCTTAAAAAATTGACCATAACTCTTAAGTATGTTCGTCCCAGCTTCCTTTTCTTTGTCACTTTTCATTTTTACTACCTATCGTTTTTATATAAAAATCGGATTTTAAAGCTTTCCTCGACTAAACCAAAAAGGCAATAAAAATTAAACAAGACAAAGTCATTTCATTTTATCAGTACCTTCAAAAAATAGAAAAAAAAACAATTTAACTTGTTAAAATTAAAAAAATAAGATAAATATATCACTAGCTCATTAAAAACCTTGTTGACAAAAATTTTAAATTACTTAGATCAATGTTTTAATTAGAAACTGTTATAAAAAAGAGAAAAAGAAAAACTGTATAAAAAAGAAATGTTAAAATCAGATACTGTTTTTTTATTATTATTATTACTTCACAATTATTATAAATTCATAGATAAGACATATATACTGAAAAGTAACTAAGTATAAATTGATTATAGTTTATACTTTATATGTCAAAAATATTTTCTTAAATTTATACTATGGCATAGGGATGGGCGTATATACTGGAACAGGTATAAATACCCAGTATGAACATGCCAGTACGCACACCGGGTATGTACGGCAGAGGCCCGTTCCATACCCGATAAGTATGGCTGGGTATGAACGCCTCGTCCGACGGTGGCGGTATATAACGCTCGCGACAACCCGCCCGCACACCGGGTATGACGTATGTACGGCAGAGGCCCGTTCCATACCCGATAGGTATGGCCAGGGGGGTGAAACTTCAATACAAAAGTATGAACAAAAATTAATGTATGAAAAGTAGGGCCATCTATAGGTCACATTGACGAAGCAAATTAGTAATTGTTACATATTTTGAGATAGATGGAGACAGTTAGGCCAGTGACAACGAAAGTATTGCCATAATAAAAAAAATCAAAGAAATGATAGATTAAAATACCGTTGTTACTAATAAATAAATACGATTATTATAAAAAATAATTACTAGACAATGCTGTAATTAAACAGGTATAAATAAGTATGAGTTTAAAACTGAATAATTAAAAGTTAAGTAAAAGTTTAAAATTGAATAGTTATAAATGGTTATAATTTTTTAAGGCAGGCTGGTAATACAAGTGACAGTTACATTATAAAAATCAACACAAGTTTTCAAAACTTGACGGTGCGCTGTTGTGTTTGATCAATTTTTGCTTTTTCGGTATACTTGTGCTCTCTTTGGACTAGGGATGGGTCGTATCGCTTTTTCTGAGTACCGTATCTGAATCCGATATCGATTTCAAATATCAGATTTCGAAACTATGTATTTTAATATCTAGATATTTTACGGTTCCCTATCCACGTTGATTTATTGAATTCTGAAAAAAAAAAAAAAAAAATTGTATACTTTAAGGGAGTGGATATAAGATGAATGAAATAACTTCCCTTCATACTTTTTCCAGGCTTAGGACTGGCTGCAGTATTTCATACTTATTATAAATATAAATTGTGCAGGCGTATTTAAAAGTTGATTCATTCTATATACATAATTTTCCTTATATTTAAAACTTAACATTATATATTTACAATTATGTCAGGGTTAATAATTATTTATATCCCTCCGGGTTCAAATTCACGTTTAGGAACGTAAGCTCTCTGACTTTATTCGTCGAAAGTCTTGTTCGACGATCATTAATAATTAACCCTGTCTTACTAAAAATGCGTTTTTTTAAATTATTAAATTAAAAATTTCATTAAAAATATAAATTGAAGTAATATAGAATGATTTATTTTAACATCTTATATACCGCTTAATAATTGACTTTAACATATTTTTAGAACACGCAATCGAGTGGCAATATTTTTATTATTTGTGTAAGAAATAATACATTCAGTATTATAGCTTAGGGCGGAAGAATTTAAAATATACACACAAGGTACATAAGCCTTGGTCTGATTTCCACCAAAGCAGCACAGCACTATTAAATTATATTTTTCTTTTTGTGTACTTTTATTTTTTTCCAAAAATATGAATAAAATTTAGCTAATAAAAATATTCACAAAAAATTTACCTCCTAAAAAATTTCCATTGTATATTTTTCTTCCTTAATTTAGGCAGAAAATTCTTAAGTAGTAAGTTGGCATCCCTTACTATTACGTGTTAAGTACCAATGCAATCCAGCTCAAGGCTGAACAAAATTTCAAAGACATCGTTAATACCGTAATTCGTATTTAAATGCAACAGAGTTTTTTTCCATGCTGTTAAGATTCCAAATTACTTAACTGCGCGCTTTGTCGCCCGTTACGGCTCAAGGCTAAACAAAACAATAAAAATATAATAATATCGTTGTAGTAATCGCTGATACCAAGATTAGTATTTAAATGAAACGGATCTCATTTGCATAGTGTTAAGATTCAAAATTACTTAACTTATTCATAATATCTGTTTAAAAATCTGATATCGTGCATTGCTTGCCGTCCCACTCTAACTAGTAAGTGTTTATATCTCACGCGCTTTGTCGCTCGATATCTGATATCGTGCATTGCTTGCCATCCCACTCTACCTAGTAAGTATTTATATCTCACGCGCTTTGTCGCTCGATATCTGATATCGTGCATTGCTTGCCGTCCCACTCTAACTAGTAAGTATTTATATCTCACGCGCTTTGTCGCTCGATATCTGATATCGTGCATTGCTTGCCGTCCCACTCTAACTAGTAAGTGTTTATATCTCACGCGCTTTGTCGCTCGATATCTGATATCGTGCATTGCTTGCCGTCCCACTCTAACTAGTAAGTGTTTATATCTCACGCGCTTTGTCGCTCGATATCTGATATCGTGCATTGCTTGCCGTCCCACTCTAACTAGTAAGTGTTTATATCTCACGCGCTTTGTCGCTCGATATCTGATATCGTGCATTGCTTGCCGTCCCGCTCTAACTAGTGAGTATTTGTATCTCACGCGCTTTGTCTCTCGAAATCTGTTTAAAAATCAGATATTGTGGCAAACGCGTATGATATCGCCGTATCGCGATTCGTGTCGGTATAGCGAGCGAGCACGGTACATCAGATTTCGGAAATATCAGATATTGTAAAATACATAGATATTGAACGAGCCAGTAAGCGATATTGGGATATTGTACTAATATCTAGTTTTCATATCTGATACGATTTGTATCGCCCACTTCTACTTTGGACTATTTGATATTTGCCTTTACGAATTGACCCCGCTATTGACTCTGGACTGATCATTGCTTATTATTATTGACCTTGGCGCTCTGACTTGATTTCCGATTGTTCAACGGTTTGGCTTTGTTGAAAGGTGACTAACAGCATCAAACATGCAAAGAAAGTGTTATGTTGCTTGTGAATTTAAAGGTAAGTTCTAAGTTTGTATATCCTACTTATCCTACTTAGCCTACTTATCTTCTATTTGTTACACTTAATATGAATATTGGCTATCGAAAAACTTCAAGCATAATCTCAGACTGAAAACGAACTTTTGTTTGTTGGGCTCTTTTGTTAAATGATAACTGCTGCGCATGATCAACCGCAAACCGAAGGGTTGCAATTGCGTTACTGCAATCTTTTAAAGATGGCCCTTGGCTACATAACACACTAGGCAAAACACACGCACAACTTTTACTTCTGGCTTGCTTTGTGATTAACTGTGATACCTCCTTTGCCAAGTTGGCCAATGTGTGCAGCAACGAAGATGTTATTACTCTAACACCTTTAATTCTTATTTCAATAATTATTGCAATGAATTTTTATTTTAGGACCACTGCACTCATTTCCATCACCAAGTTACTCTCACGAGGATAGATTCAATAAATGGAAATCTGTCCTTGGTGAAGATCTGAAAAATAAGGGCAATGATTATATACATAGGAATGTTGTCTTTGTAGAAGGCATTTTGAAGGACACTTCCATACTTCTGGTAATAGACTTACAGCCAATAGCATTCCTTACGGCGTGTTTGCGAAATCTCGCGGAATCTGCAAAAATAGGGGCTTTTCAGGTACCTTTTGCGGCAAAACGAAACGAATATAATGTAAGTAATAATTATCACATATAGATCCCTCCTTCATCTTCACATGGTAGATAGTTTTTAATCGAAAATTTTGGTTTATAATATTGTAAATGAGAATTTTCGTGACCACTTCACTCAAAATGGACGATATCCTGTTGGGTTTAGGAACATTTTTCTCTTATTTAATAACATATTTTTTTTATTTAAAAATATTTTATGTAAGCACACATGTTCAACTCAAAAAGGTAGCTACATTACGTATCAAAATTGTTGAAATTAGTTTCAGAAAAAAATAAAGATTAAAATCTATTTCTTTCACATTTATATCTTACGCGTGAATCTTAAGTTATTGACATAAAGGTTATTTTACTGGTCACTTTTTTGATTTATTCCACAAAAATATTTAAAGAAATATTAGTCGGCGCTCGGCTGCCGTCATGAGTGGTCACTATGTCGCTTATAAACAGCAGCTCGTGAGGAAAAAGATCGCTGTACGAATACAAAATATTTGTCGTAACAAAGTTGATACTTTACACATCATGTTCGGACTTCGGACTACGAACGACAAAAGTAAACTATAATTCACACTTTGTCATATTTTTACTAGAAATTAGTAGGGGTTAAAAATTCATATTTCGTTACGGACTTGATGGAGTGACCTGAAGGTGTACTTCGAGAACTGCTACTGGAACTAACAGACGAGATGAGCTATGAGCTATATGTGTGTCGCGTTTGGGCTTGTTTTGTTAGGTATGGTGAGACCTTGCCTTCTGATTTGTTGGAGTGACCTGAAGGTGTACTTTGAGAACTGCTACTGGAACTAACAGACG